TAATAATGTTATAACCAACTGGACAAATCTACAAAACAAAAAATACCTAGAAATGTTTGATTGTTCTAATGCTGCTTCTGTTAGAGAATCATTAGATAGATACTGCCCAAAAGCTATTAACTCTAAAATGACTTTCTTTTTTAAAAACACAAATTTCTCTTCTTTAATCTATAGGTATGAAGGAACTTTATTGCTTTTGATATATGGATTATATGTATTAGTGCTGTGTTTTGACATTAAAATTAACCAATATATTATAAAGAAATGCAGTCCTTGCTGCACTTGTCTTGCCAAAGCTATGGAGGAGAGAAATGAACAACAGCCACTGATGGGATGGGAAGACGAGGGTCAACCATTCATTCGTCGGCAATCAAGAACTGACAGTGGAATATTTCATGAAGATTCTGGCTACTCTCAGCTCTCTATAAGTTTACATGGTCTTAGTCAGATTTCTGAAGGTAATAACTATATCCTGCCCACCATTAAGTCTAGCAAAACTTAAGCATCTCATTTCAATTAGGCAAGTATTGTGTTCTTATTATGTAAAAGATCAGGAGATTAAGAGTTAATAAAGAGAAAGTCCCTACTCTTAAGGAACTTCAAACATTGTAGGAAAAAGAAAGCAAAACGGCTAAAATATGAAGGTATGTAAGTACCATAAAATGATAAAATGTAACTATGGTTCATAAATAGAACAGAGTTTACAAAATTTAGTGAAGAGAGTTAGGAGCATTTAAACTGAGCCTTGCTGGGCAGGTAAGATTTTAACTAATGACCTGATGTTATGACCAATAAGTAACAGCTACTGAAGTCTTTATATTATATCAATGACACAGAGAGTAAAGTGTTAATATATAGCACAGCATATGCACAGTAAGGAAGCAGAGGAAGAAGGATGGACAGAAAGGAATAGGATATGAAACATCTTAAATGCTGGTGTTAAGAATCTTGGAAGGTTTGTAAGGAGGGAAATTATTACAACTGTTAATTTAGGAATATTATCCTGAACTGATGTTCATAGAAGAACTGAAATACGAGGTAAGATGTGTTCTTACAGAACACATCTAGCTAATGTGTTCACTGGATGCCTAGGTAGAGTAAAAGCAGTGGGAAAAAAAGAGAACAGATGTGAGACAATACAGAGAAAGCATCGGCAAGACTTGTCAACTGAGGGACTAGACGGAGCCAGAAAAGGCAAAAAAGACAACTCCAAGGTTGTGATCTTGACTGAGAAAATGGGAGCACCATTCATAAAATTGGAAATTCCAGGAAAGAGCCTGGTTTGGAAGAAAAGAAAGAAGAAAACAGTTGAGGTTTAAACGTCATTTGAAGCAGTAGCAAAACATTAGATAAATATGTTCAGTAGGAGGTCAAATTCGGCTAGGGCCAGAATTTTAAGTTTGTGACTTACTTTTTTATGAAGGGGTTGTATAAAATAGATATTAATTTTAACTCAGTGCATTAGTAAGGGAATTTGTTCTAATTTACTATTTAAAAAACTTAACACATCACTTTTTCCCCTTCTTACAAAAAGTATAGCTTCTAGTCTTTCAGGTACAAGAGTTATGGATCTTTAAGTTAAATTTTGTAACAAGAAATTAAAAAGAACCAGTCCAAGTACTTTGATTACATTAAAATTATTTCTAATATTACTTAATGGCACATTGGTTAAGGCTTGGCAGACTTTTTTATGAGTTATTTTACTAGCATTAGTTGTAATGTGATTTGATCTAATATATGAGTACATACAAATTTTAAACGATTTTTAATTCCCCTATTTATCCAATATATTATTATTATCCTTGTCTTCCACTAACTTAAACTGAATAAAAGAACATACTCAACTTTCATAAGTTACATTGTAGAATATACTACCTTCTATTTTCTTAATTTTTTTTTTAAGAATTGGTAAAGTCTGAATTTAGTAAATAAAAGAGTAATGAAACAGACATAAAAACCCCACTTTTAATAAGTAGAATGAAATATGCAACTTAATAAAAGGATTATGCTAAAATTAATTTATATTCCCTAAGTATCATTACCTGACACATAGGGCGGGCAGAGGCATCATCAATATAGTGGAGACAACTCCAGTATCTGGGTTAGAAGTCAAGTGAATCCCATAAGCTAACAGTCACTGAAGACAATCCACAATGCAGAAAACCAAGAGATAGCCAATTGACACTTCATAAACACTATCTCTAACATAATTTAGCGAGTCAGCCAAGACATTTTGATATATTTAAGGCCCCAATCAAGAAATGCTGAGTATCACATCTTACATTATCTGCCCTAAAGTTTCAATTTGTTTCTTTTTGCCAACAATATCAGTAATGAGGTATTCAACTGTTTAAAGTAGCCTTTTAAAAACTGATACAGCTAATTTATTTCAATATAGCTTTCTAAATAGGCATTTCTAACTTAATTGGCAATTTGAGAAAACTCAAAATTGTTTAATTTTTCCACAACAGATCCGCCAAGTGTTTTCAACATGCCTGAAGCAGACTTAAAAAGAATTTTTTGGGTATTATCTCTTCCTATTATTACATTACTTTTTCTAACCACACCGGATTGTAGAAAAACATTTTGGAAAAACTACTTTGTGATAACCTTTTTCATGTCTGCATTATGGATATCTGCATTTACATATATCCTGGTTTGGATGGTCACAATTACTGGTACGTATTTTAAGTACAATAGCAGAATTTAAAAAGAAAATAATTTCATATGAGAACAAATTGCATATGTTCATTTCAAGTAGTCTAGCTAGGCAGCAAATTTCTTTTTCAACAAGACTAAAGATTAGTGCTATTTACAAAATGATTAAATATTAATATATTAATAACAAGATCATTCAGGTTTTGTGAATTACATATTACATATCAATTATATTTCTCACTACTGTACACCTTAGGGTACAAGTCAAGGGATCATCTTAAAAATGCAATCAAATTCATGGGATGTCTATTACAATAATAATTAAATCACATTGCATGGGATCCACAATAAACTCCTCATATTGAATTACATTCCATAATGAAAAACAGAGCAAGGAGCCAGTGTTTTGGGAAAACAATGGGTGCTATTTAACTGGATTATATTTTATTTTGCTTTAGAATATGGCAAAATAAACATACTATGAAATGAGTGAAAAGGCTATAAAATAAAGTTTCATTGTAGGTTTCTACTACCTTTATAAATTAAGACTTAACTATTACTGTTTAACTGTTACTGCTGGCCATAATCTGCTCTAGTCCCCAAAGGAAAAACTAATTTATAAACATAGACCAAAAAATCAGGAATTTCTCCCAAAAGGATTAACCTGAATTGACTCATATTAGAGGTGAACAAACTACTGTCTGTGCCAACATTACCCGGCTTGTTTTTATTAGTAAATTTTTACTGAATATAGTCTAGTTAGGCCCATTCATTCACATATTATCTGTGACTGCTTTCACACTATACTAGTGGAGCTGAATAACTGCAACAGAGATCAAAGTAATTACTATCTGGCCCTTCACAAAAAACAAACAAGCAAACAAAAACAAAACTACTTACCCCTGACTTTTCCCAAATTAGAATATAATATATAAGTCTTAGAATAGTATACTAGCAAAAAGTAGAATATTGGGGGTTTTTTTAATGATAAAAAGTCCAATTAGCTTGCATGATATCCATCCATATTTTCTCAGCCAGAACACATTTGATATTAGGAAAATAAAAAGAGAGCAAAATCAAGTAATAGATCACAGAACAGATACCAAGATGTAAATATTAGTGTTATTTAAGTACATATGAACTCTAGCAAAACCAATAACAAAAATTAACCAATTCCAACTTGAGAATCAATATGTAAGCATGCAATAAATAAGCAACTTTCTAATTAAGTTCTTTTAATTGATATTTTAAGGAAAAAAAAGAAAAAGATCCTAAACCAAGTTTTCAATTACAACATTAAAAAAAGTTAAATATCTTTTTTTTTTTTTTGACTTCCCTCTGGTTCTGTTTTTCACAATGAACACATTTCTGAAAAATGTTGAACTGACATCAAATTTAACAGAAGTATTAATAAATTGGGACCATATGTTAGAAAGACTCAAGTAGAAAACAAATAGGTTTTGTTTTCCTCAAGAGATTTATGGACTTTCCCAAAGAAAACACTAAATTAAGGTACATCACTAAAGCAGAACTTTAAAAATGTATATATACATGTTAACACATTTATAGCTTAAAGATAGCTATAAATAATTTGCTTAACTCTGACTACTTTTAAGGAAACTGTTTTAGAAAATGAGGAAATGATCAGTCTCATTAGCATATATTAAACAACAGCCCTGATGCGAAAAAAGGTGAACATCTACAACTTCTATAAGAATACCAAATAGGGTAATTTCTCATTGGTAGTATTTTGGCTGTTAAATATCTTTAAATATCTTCCGTTAAAAATCTGTACTACATTGGTTGCCTAAATTACGAACCTGATTCAAATATTTTGCTAGCTAAAAACTAAGTAAAACACATATTGGTTCTGAAATCTAAATGTGCCTATTTTATTTTTATTCAGGAAGGAAATATCCGTAAAGACAGGTTAACCAATCTATAAGATTTGTAACTTGTAATGTCTATGTTTATTACAGGGGAAACACTAGAAATTCCAGATACAGTAATGGGCCTTACTTTATTAGCAGCAGGAACAAGCATACCAGACACAATTTCAAGTGTGTTGGTTGCAAGAAAAGGTAAGAACGAGATCCCTCAAGCTGCAGTGCCCATTCTTCAATCCTGGCTGGAATTCACTGAGTAAAGGTAGCTTTAAAAATATTTATTTCCTCAGTAACATACTTTGAAGGAAAAAAAAGTGACTCTAGAGGAAGAGTTTACTATTTAATAGATTAATTTCACTTACTCTAATCCCCCAAATAATATTCACCTGAAATGTGCATTAAATAGTAATTAACCATGTTACATCTGAATGAAAAGCAACGAGTAAGCTACATACCTTATTGAAAAATGGTTTAATAAATAAAGATAATCATTATTAAATAAATGTTAAGACTATAAATACTAACCCAAGAAAAATTTTAAAATACAAATTCAATAAGACTTTTGCTCTAATAACAATATTCTAAAACCAACCAACCAACAACAAAAAGTATCCAGTGTTTTTTCCTTATAAAGACTATTAATAAAATACAGTACTGGTATGCACATTTTAACATGTTTTTCTTTTGTAGGTAAAGGAGATATGGCTATGTCTAACATCGTGGGATCCAATGTATTTGATATGCTATGTCTTGGTGTTCCATGGTTTATTAAAACTGCATTTATAAATGCATCAGCTCCTATAGAAGTGAACAGCAGAGGACTAACTTATATAACTGTCTCTCTCAACATTTCAATTATTTTTCTCTTTTTAGCAGTTCACTTCAATGGCTGGAAACTAGACAAAAAGTTGGGAGGAGTCTGCCTATTATTATACTTGGGGCTTGCTACACTATCGATTCTATATGAACTTGGAATTATTGGAAATAATAAAATAAGGGGTTGTGGAGGTTGATATTATTAATAGTGTTATGTGGGAAATGTGAATGGCAGGGAGGGGAAGAGAGGGAAAAATCCATTTCTTCGTTTAAATCAAATAAAAAACATCCTGAACTTCAGAATCTAAAACTTACAGTAATTCTTCATCACCAAAGTAACTCAAAACCAACCAAAATCACATCCTAATTTGTCTGAGCCCTTTCTTCTCATGAGCAATTAATTACATATTATAAAACAGAAGTTTTGAAAAAAACATCTATGTTTTACCTCACAGTAAGTTGATAAAAGCTGGGGAAACTAAAACAAACAAATCCCACTATGTAGTACTGAAAACAACAAGAAAATGGCTTATTTCATTAAAAACAGTATAACCATTCATTTAAACTGAATGACCAGACTTGCTGTCTTTAAAAACCCAAACTTGAGATTAACAAAAATCACAGTATATTTTTAACATTATACTGTTAAAAGCTGGTGGGAGTTTTAAAAGTACATTTTTACAGCTTTTGTAAGCATACAGTATTACTTAAAAAATGACTTCTACTAGGAGATTCAGCAAAACAGATGTAGGAATGTTCCAACCATGGTTTGATATTATGCATTACGATCCAAGCGAACATCGATTTCTCTGCCACTGATTTTTATGCCATTCATTATTCTGCAGGCTTTTTCAGCTGCTTCTGGGGAGTCAAATCTGACCGTTCCACAGCCTTTCGACTTTCCATTTTCCATTTTTATTTCTGCAAACATTACATGACCTGTAAAAGAAAAGCCATAGAATTATTAGTCAGTTTAAATGGGCTCCATTTCACTACACACTATACACTATATTTCACTATAAAATTCCCCATAGCCAATGAATTGATAAGTAATTTGATTAAGAACATTAATATTAATGATTTAAAAATAACAAGTCATATAAGCATTATCACTTTATATTTTGAATATAACACAATTCACATAAAGTAATAAACAGATATATATTAGAATATACAAAATTGGAAATTGGGATAGATTTGCTTAGGATTTAATATATTTTATTTATGTTAAATCCTTAATTTCTGAAGTGAATTTTATAGCAGTAAGTCAAGCTAGCACAAAATGCCACCAACTCACCATGCCCCAAAACAAACTTACATATTTAAACAAAATTATTTTTAGAATTAAATGGTTGCTTACTGCCCAATCCCCCAATCTCTCTTCTTTTCCTTTTATCCTCATTTCAGTCCTTCATCCCCTTGCAAATAAGTGCAACTGCCCAGAAATCTAATTTCTATCAGGCCACAAAGGGCCCCAACTAATTCAGCTTTTCAACCACAATGCCAAAGCCATTTACACACAAAGTCTAAGAATGGCACCAAATATGTTATGGAAATAGTCATGGAAGAGACAGCATAAATTTAAATCAATACGGTAAAAATAGTAATGTTAATAGCACAAAGGAGAACCTCAGAGAAACTTCAGGAAGATAAAACCAGCCAATTGTTCCTTGTACAGTTAATATCATTGCTAACTCTTGAGATTGGTTATTTGAAGTAAACCAATACCATTTATAAAAATATAAAGTGGCCATAAAAATTCATCATCTAAGCCAGAACACTTCTGAGAGTAAAAGGAGGTGTTATCAATAATTACACATAAGTAACAGATGTAAAGTGAGACAATCCTCAGGCAAACTGGAATGCATGATCACCCAATCCAAACAGGTCATAAATTTCCTTAGGTGTGACTACTTACCATAATATTTCCCTCCTCTCTAGATGTATGTGTCAAAACAAATCAAGTTAGAGAACTTCAAATATTATAGTTGCCAGACCACTATGGGCTAATTTAGTCTGGCAACCAAATCAGACAGCCAGATATATTCAGTTCCATAAAGGAGGGGAAAAAGGAAGAAGGGGAAAGGTAAAAACAGAGGGCCCATCAAAAAATTGCATAATCCCTTTCCAGGAGACGGGATCAATTTTTAATCTCAATGCATGAGTATGATTTTTTTCCCCATTGAAATCTTGATCTGAATGATCTCTTATCTACAATACCCTGGGATACTTCTCTACTTTTGTTTTTTCATCCACCCACATTGGTGGGTTTCTTTTTAAAACCAAAAGGTAGTCGATTGCTCACCTAGTAACATGAATTAAATGGTCTAAGATAATGAATGTCATACTGAGCCAAAAGCATGATCTTGTTACCCAGGCCAGGCAGGCTTTAAATATGTTCTGAAAGTTATAAAACAGGTTAATCTCCAGAGAAATTACATTATAATGGTTAAAATAGACCCACGTAATATGTAACCTACAGTTGGGATAAAATGGGAAAAAAAAATCATAGCAATCATACTTTCTAATAAACATCATAAAATAAAACTGGAAAATATATTTTTTTTAAAAAGCTTTAAAGATAAATGCAGCACAATTTTCAGAGTCCTCTTAACATCTTGAATGCTTGTACCTGAAAAAAAGCAAGTTGAATTAAAGAAGCCTATCTTGGTAAATGGCAGCACTTAATAGTGATTTTGAAAAGGACTGTATAATTTTCAAGGACAGGGGCCTTTAAAGGTTCTTCCTTATCCTAATTTTACCTGAAAACTCAGGGTTTTTCTTAATGTAAGTATCCCATCCCAGGTTTATTATCAATAGTAAGGTTCACCCAAGCAAGAAATCTTCAAAACTTTAAAGGAAAATATGTCACTATCTTTTGCATATATCTCTCAATCTTTCAAAACAAGTTTGTCTTTCTTTTTTGTTTTCTTCTTAAATCATCTCCCTTAGTTTAGGAATCAGCACTCAGACCTCCACATTCCTGACCTCACAATGATCTCAAGAATTTTCTAGCTGACAAAGCCCCTCAGCTAAGATACTTGAACCTTCTTACAGTTTGGACGTTCAGGCTCTACTGAGAGTAGTCCATAGATACTTGTTTCATGGTTTGACTGTCATGAAAAATCCCAGAAGGATGGAACCAGAAAGAGTTGTAAATTTTCTAAGTTTCTTCCTAATCCTATAAAAATACCAACTGATATATTTTCTAAAGATAAATAATTCAGGAAAAAAATAGTTTCAAATAATTGATTAAAATCAGGCCTGCCCTTTTACATATTGAGGACTTCCTCAACAACTGACTTAAGTATCTACTGATCTTGTATGATTCCATGAAAACAAAAATAGCACTGCTATTTTAGCAACAGTAAAGGATAAAACAGCATGTCATGAGAAACCAGTATCACAGAATAATCAAACATATTGCTGTTACATATACTAGTAATAGAAATGACTTATCCTGCAGTAAGAAAAACCTTCTCACTTTATTTAACTCAGCCTATTAACATCTGTGGGGTACACTTTGGAAAATGCTGATAAAAGAGCATATCTACAGATAGCCCAAGTTAAAGCATTTATAAATGAGTAACTGCTTCAATAAAATCTAGTGCCTAAATGAAGCTGTAACATAACCACAGTAGAAAAAAGGAAAATCAGATATTCTACCATAAGAAGCATAATTAAGATATAAGGGACAAAACACAAAGTTTTGGTGTTTCTTTTTTTTTTTTTTTTTTGAGACAGAGTCTCACTTTGTTGCCCGGGCTAGTATGCTGTGGCGTCAGCCTAGCTCACAGCAACCTCAGACTCCTGGGCTCAAGCGATCCTCCTGCCTCAGCCTTCCAAGTAGCTGGGACTACAGGCATGCACCACCGTGCCCGGATAATTTTTTCTATATATTTTTAGTTGTCCAATTAATTTCTTTCTATTTTTAGTAGAGACGGGGTCTCGCTCTTGCTCAGGCTGGTTTCGAACTCCTGAGCTCAAACAATCCGCCCTCCTCGGCCTCCCAGAGTGCTAGGATTACAGGCGTGAGCCACCGCGCCGGGCCTTGGTGTTTCTTTACAAACAAAAGAAAGTGACTATTAATGAATGTTCTTCATATATTATCTTTACTGTTACCAAATTATTTTTACTGTTAAGTTATTCTGGAGTTAAAGTCCACTCATCATGCTTGAAGCAGCAAGTGCTTTAGTAAATAAAATCTACCACAAGTCTCCATTTGCCTTGCAGTTAACAAGTATACTGATGTAGAAATACTACATAATGGAAATCTGTAGAACAAAGTTATTAATATATTTGTTTATATGTCTTACAGCAAGAATAGCTGGGAACAAGCTTTCCTTGCAATGAAATTCTAAAATGTTATAGTCCTGCATCATACTGAGCCAGAAGGCCAGAATTCAGCTAACATATATAGATAACATGAGAGCAAGTTTGAAAGATTATGACTATTTGACCCCATTAGCACAAGCCAAACTAATGTGGGGTCCAACTTTCGATAGGTCAGTTAATTTATTTTTACTCAGCCTTCTTAAAAATGCATGTCACTGAGGAATTACACAGGGCAGGATGAAAAGAGAGATCTCTTTTACTACAGGAAAGACATGTGTCTTATTAGCCTGCGGTCAAAAACATTATCTTTGGGGGCTTATTGAAATTAGAAGGAATTGGAAAATAGCAGTTATATTCACTTATTGCTCATCTTATTTGGGAAGATCTAAAAACACTTTTTCCTGAATTTATAAAGGCTGAGAAAATGTCCTATTGAGGGTAATATAACCCATAATATAACATTTTCTCAGTCTTTGTAATTGCTGCATCAAGGACAGCTAATCACTAGAGACATTTTATGAGCAGGAATGCTTGCCAGTGGGGCCATTTACTGGCAGATATTGTTTAGGAGAGATGCATGGAGCACCACTAGACTCTTACTAAGGAGCAAGCAAGAGAATATACTTACTCACTTTGGGCTTGGGGAAAAAACAAATGAACAAAACTACCCTTACTGCCAAAGAGGCCATTACTGACTCACAGTAGGTTAAAAAGAAACATCCCATACTAAGAAAAACTCTAAGATTCATAAATAAAGAAAGTGACGTGCCAGAAAAAATGGATGGTTTAGTTCATATTAACCAGATAATTTCCATAGCTGTCAATAGCTGGACACTAAATTCTATATAATTGTAACTTACTTTCTTTCCCACCAATGCAATTCAGGTTAAAAATAAAGGAGATATATTAGGGCATTTTATAAGTATGGTATTACTGTAATATAAAATCTAAAAGTCAGAAGTTTTTACAATAAATCAAGAATAAAAACAAATATCATTAATCTTAAGGTGTAACTATAGATTGATCAAAAAGGGATATAAAAGAATATAGCTAAAATAACAAAGTAAAGAATAATTTAACCATTATTTTATATGTCTAAAATATTGCAGAAATTTTTCAAATGTAGATTTGGATGCTTTTTCCTTTCAGAAAATGTCTTTCAATTGGTGATATCCTTCTGTCAAAACAATGCCACTCCAACCAGAAGAAGCCCTCCAAAAGACCAAATTTGCTACAAGCCTTACTCACACCTGACCTCAAAAGGTAACCAGCCTGTATAGGATAATGAACAGTCAACTCAATATTGCTCAAATTTTCATTGTCATTTCTTTGCCCCCCCCTTTCTTTGCTCTTTATCTTGTTAAGTTTCATTTCTACTTTTTAACATAATGTGATATATCTGATTTGGAGATGCTTTTTTCACTGAAACTACATCAAGAGAAATTATCTATACTTGCCGCCACTGCTCTCCATTTGATGTATTTCACTAAGGCCCTAATGTTTTTTCCTCTGTAGTCTGGGATTCATGGCCAGATGTTGCTTATACATTCTGCCAGATCTTCTTACTCCTACAAAGACAACCAATACCTCGAAACAACTTTACTACTTTGCTTTCTCTTAGTGACAAATATTTACGAGTTGATTTGTTTTCAACAATCTTTTTAATTGAAAAATATATTTTTTCTTCCTTGAATTTTAGATTAGTGTGAAATAAAAGGATGATCAACAAAGGGAGCCAAAAGAACATCCTAGACAAATTTATGCTGTTTGTTCTTGAGGGCAGAGGTATCTGAATTTGTTCACTTTCATAATTCTAATGCCTGCAAACTGCAAAAAAATATAATATTTGTAGATTTAATGAATGAGTAACTCAATAAATAAAGATCTATCCAAAACACTTAACTTATAAATATTTCATAAACTCTTACTATATGGACAGAGATAATGAAAGTTGCTATGATAAAGAGATGACAGTTCTTGCCCTCAAGAGCCTCCATCTGGGATGGAAGAAAACATGAACAAATAATTACAATATAATAAAAACTCGTAGTATATGTACAGAGGCAATGAAAGGTGCTGGGATAAAAAGATGGCAGTTCTCGCCCTCACAAGCCTCCATCTAGAATGGAAGAAAATGTGAACTAATAATTACAATATAATAAAAGCCACAACAAAGTTACGTATAAAGAACTATGAGAACCCAGTAGATAATATTATCTCTGATAGTGGCCACAAAGGCTATTTTTGTGAGAGAACACTAAAAACCTATCCTATCCCCTTCATGACCTTAAAAATTAACAATATATTCCAAATACTCTTAGATTTCTGTTAACTCTAATAGGCTGAATGTACCACTTTTAGCCCTTCATCATTATTTGCTACCTATGTAGCTTACTATTGTGATTATAGTTTCTGGGATTATAGTCTCTGCTGTTTCAGGTAACAGCAGATAAATACTATCAAAAAATCTGTTACTTAGTGACACTCACACCAATTCTCTCATACTGATGAAAGAAAACAAAAGCAAGAACTTTATAGATTAAGATATTTTGTAACAAAAATAAGTATGGTATATAAAGGGTCTCTTTTAAAAGCAATAAATCACTTAATCTTCTACAGACCTAAGAAACACATTAAGGTGGTATAGGTAGTATCATTATAGTTAAGAACAGTTTAAAAAAGAATTAAAAGGGCAACCAAAATATATCTATGTCTAAGGCATTCCTGGTAGTGGGTTCTACGCTACCAGCTAAGTTTCCTATTTTAGGCAGGGGATGCAGTGTATGCATTGCCTATTAACTACATATCAACTGAATGTCAGCATCTCAGCTGGTCATGCTGACAATCCACTGTACTACACTATAAACAAGTAAATATACCACTTATTAATATTTCTCATAAGAAAAAACTTTTTAATGCAAACGATGATATGTTAACCTTTTAAAAATGAGCTAATAAAATAAGCCCTTGTTGACAGGAGACAATGACAAGCTATACCCTAAACCCTAGTATTTACTAGTAATTTGCACTGCTCTAAGTTAGAAGATAGCAAAATAATTCATTTAAAGTGGAATTAGACCTGGCACACTATCCAGACTATACAGGAATAAACATCTGGACAGGTAAGGGCTAAACACAGTGTCTAAAAGTTTAAAACCAATGTTCCTCTATAATTACATCAACATATCTACAGTCATTGGCATACTTACCACACTGACTGAATTTCTCTTTTAGTTTCTGCCAAGTCAAGTCAAAAGGCAGCTAGAATGAAAAAAGGTATTAGTAACATATATACAAGGAAAAAAAGAATTTTATTTATCCTTTACATTTATTTGCTTACATTTCTGACAAATATCTGGTTGCCTTTGGAGCCTATTCTGTCTCTCATTCCGCTTCCCATTGGACCCGATAAAAATCCTCGATCCATATCGATGCTCCTTTCCAATATAGCTCCTATACCTGGTCCCATTCTATCAAAGCTGGAACTCATCCGGTCCAGTCCTATCCCCATTCCTCCAGTCACACTGTTCATGCCACCCATTCCACCACCTGGATTTTCAAGAAGGGAAGGGAAGGATTTGGGAGTTTTGTGTTTGGGTTTCGAAAACATGAGGAAAAGAAGAAAGAGAAGGAAGAAGGGAAAGAAAGAGTCATTTTTGAGAAAAAAGGGGAGAAAAAAATTAATTCATTTACATAATTAAATATTTATAAACACAAAATCATTTTCATACACACAATTTTCCAAGAAAGAGAATTCACTTTGGTATACGTTTGGCCAGTTGAGAAATTGTAGTTCCAGCCAATATATAAATACATTTTCCAGATACACCTCTATAAAATTACATTCTGATCATAAAACACATAATATAAATTACACCAATCCTGTATCAATCCCTTTATCTGTTAATATTACAGCGGTTTTTAATACTTATTTTTTATTTGCCAATAATATCAAGCATAATAATTGCTAGAACAAAGATATATAGAGGTAAATTCAAATTATTACAACTCCAGCACACATGCTAGCCTCATCACACTCTCCACATGTAAATATTCCTTTCCTAGCTTACCTTTTACCTCAGTATCTTCACCTCTGTTTCCCACACAGTTTTTCTTTACATTGCTAACCAATTTTCAATATACAAGAAAATCATAGCAAAACACAACTTTTAATCTCAATATTATATAGAACTTGTGAAGGGAACAACAAAAAATGGTACCACTCCCATTTAGCCAGAGCTGAGAATTTAACTTCTAGCTCATACTTACTTCATTTTTAAGCACTAACTCTTTCCAGTCCCCTTTAATTATTATAATCTTACCCATTCTCAAAACTTAATATTGTTTCTTATACCTAATATCCCCATACATGGAAATTCTAAAAATTAACATCACCCTCAAATTGGCTTTCTGGGAATAACAAATACACAATTAGGGAAACAGAAGTATAAACACTGAGATAAAGGAAGAGGGTAGGAAAGTTAGGATTAACAGGAAAATGGCCAAGGCTAAAAGGTGATAAAGAAAAAATACAATGAGGGGCAGGATACAGTGGAAGTAGATGTCTTCAGCTGATAGGATTTTAGAATTCACTCTTAGAGTAGGCTGTATTCCTATTTGTGAATTTTATCAATTAAAGTCAATATGGGAGGCCAAGGAAGGAGGATTGCTTGAGGCCAGGAGTTCAAGACCAGCCTGAGCAAGGACAAGACCCTGTCTCTACAAAAAATAGAAAAATTAGCAGGTCTGATAGTATGTGCCTGTAGTCCCAGCCACTCAGGAGGCTGAGGCAGGAGCATCGCTTGAGCCCAGGAATTTGAGGTTGCAGTGAGCTATTGATGACGCCACTGCACTCTAGCCCAGGCAACAGAGCAACGCCTTATCTCAAAAAATAAATTAATTAATTAACAAAGTCAATAAAGTATGGGGAGCTCACAGATATATGGCCCAGTAAGCAATACAGGTTAAAAAAAAAAAGGAAAAGAAAAAAAAACCTAAGCCATGTATTAAGGCTTAATGTAAGGCCTAAAATGTGGTAGTGGAAACAGATGGGAAACAGCATTCCCCAGTGTTAAAACTACCCTTGATTCTATCACAGAAAAGGTTTAAGAGGAAAGGAAATAAGTACCTCTTTCAACCTTAGCTGTCAACGTGAGAAGGTCTCTAAAAGTGTTATATCTGCATTTAACAAAAGATGCGAGATGCTCACAGATGAAATGAGCTAGTCACTAACAGCTGTTACAGAAGGTAAGCAAGGAAACAAAGTTGGTGCTAAAGCAAAAGTTGCTCCTGCCACACAATCAGAGAAATCCCCAGATTCCTTAGTTGGAAAGAAGATTCTTGGATTGGCTTGTTAACACATACTGTGGTGTTAGTTTAGAGATATTAAACAAATAAAATTCAAACAGTTAATTTAGAAATTTCAATGATCAAAAAGGCTTAGCTCAATAACTATCAAAGTTTCTCAGATTATGACAAGACATATTAACATATATGAACAAAGTATTACTATACTACAATAACTATTCTTGCAAAGTTTTTGCAAGCACTCAAATATTACTGAATAAATTCTAGTAAAATTTAAACCTACTTATTCCAGATCCTACTGGACCCATGTTAGAAGCTCCTATTCTTCCTGCAAACCCTCCAATCATTGCACTGCCTAAACAAGGATGGAAAGATAATATACTAATTAATTTAAATAATCATACTTTAAAATTCCCAAGGTACTATGCTCTCAGAAGATGTACAATAACTGAAAAGTATAAAGTCTTCTGGAAATAGGGCTCAAATGTGTAAGATATGAAAAAAGAGAGCAAGTACATTAAAATCCCTAAAATGTTTTCTTCAGGTAATAAGTTGCACGAAACATTATAAACTTCTAATTTTTCACAAAAAAAAAGAATAAATTTTAAAAAGTATAACCTGTGAAAAGAAAAGGAGAAGTATACAGCCAACCCTACCAAGTCTACCAAAGGAATCTCCAAAGCCTCGATTTATTCCAATATCACCACGTCCAAAATCTCGCTCCATGCTACTAGTCATCGCACCACGGTATAGCTCTGAAAAGATTGTGCAATAAATTAACCCTTTTTCAAGTATATCAATACATGGTAAAACACTCAGGAACATATATCTAAACTAAACTGAAAAGACAGCATACATCACAAATACAAAAGTCTGCAATTTACCCAACTTACCTTACACGCCACACATACCATGCCCAATCCCGCTAACCCTGCTGTTATCCCCTTAGTGCCCATATGCTATCTGAAGACATCTATAGCACCCATTCCTAAGTGATGGGGGGGAAATTTTAATAATAGGGAAAACTAAACATAGCACACACATCCCACTCCACACATTTACCTACCTCCCATTCGGCCAACTCCTCCAAATCCTCCCATGCTATTCATTGCTTCCAGACCACCAAACCCAATTCCTATGGAATAAAGATTAATTTTGAGATTTGACTATCAGTTATATAACTGAAAGGTACATTTTGTAAATGTTATGTCTCAATAAGCTCTTCAGCGACCCTACCTGTGTAGCTACTTCTTAACACATCACCTAGCCTTAAGTATGTGGTGAGCTCATTTTCTGCTAGCAGGCTTTAGAACATGAGCCAGCAATAAACCAAGATTTTTTTTTCTTTGAATTCTCAAGAGTTCCCAGTTTATTAAAAATGGTGATAGGTACATACAAAAAACAAATGCTTATACATACCTCCTCCAATTCTATTCATTCCTCCAAAACCTGGACCATCCATTCCCATACCTCAAATAAAATACACAGTATGTACTTTGAGTAAATTTTATTTTTATGACTAAAGAATGACATAATGCATTATAACAAAATAGCTACCATTGATCTAGCCACAATGAAACACTAGAGAAGCAGCAGGGTACAGGAAGGATGGTTTCAAGTACTATGCCATAGCAGTTTTCTAATCATGAGTCTTCAAAAAGGCTTCTTTGAACATTTATTAGACAAGAAAGCAAAATTCACTAGTCACACTTACAACATTCAGTTAGAGAATATCCAGGACTAGGTAATTTTGTTTCAGAACAGACACAGAAAAATCGCTATAGCAGATTTAGAGATTAGGCCAGAATGTAAGGACTCCACTTAACATGGCAGTTAAGGGAGTTGTAAAAAATTTAAAGATATAAATAGTATGTGTTTAGGAGAGTGGGGGGAGAAAATTTGCTTGGATCAGAATGATTATCATAATTACTCTCATAATTTAAAGTGTGACTATAGCATCTCAACAAAAGTAGGATTCTGACATTGATCAGTCCATCAATTAAAATAATAATTCTCAAAGTATGGTCTGGGGACCCTTGAGGGTTCAATAGGTCAAAACTATTTCAGTCATCAAATACTACTATGACATTGACTGCTTTACTCTCATTCTTCGATGAGTTTAAGGTGTCATTTTCCAGAGACTATATGATATACAGTATCACAACAAACTGAATGCAGAAACAGATACAACAGCGTGGTTGTCTTGTATTAAGCCAAACATTAAAGAAATATGTGAAAAGGTAAAACAATGCCACTCTTCTCACTAATTGTTCTACATTGGAAAATACAGTTCATTTTCTTAAAAATTATATTTATGTTAACAGATAATGGGTTTATTATTGTTATTTTTAAATAAATATGTAATTTTTTACATTTCTAAGTTTTCATTTATAATACAGTAAATATTGCTAAATATAAGCATATGAACAAAACTTTTTGGTCCTCAACAGATTTTGAGAATATAAAAGGGTTCTGACACTAGAAAGTCTGAAAACCAGTCTCCAAAAATGAACTAGGAGTTAGTCCAGGTAAACAGCCAAATAGCTACCTGAAAAGCTACCTTCCCAACTAGATACACAAATTTAAGTTGCCTATGATATGGTAGCATTTCAGCCATTTCACAAACACTATATGTCCATCATACATTCTCCTTCTTCCTTAAGGACATTTCAAAATCCATGTGGCTAAAAGGCTAGCTACAATATGGCTGGCCCCAGAGACACCCTCCTGACCTTTGCCTACTCTCTTTCATGTTAGCTACTTCAAAGGTTTCATTTCTTTTTCAGACTGAAGTGATACCCTAAATGTATCACTATAAAATAGAGTCCTTTAAACATTATTACAGACTAGCAAATGTAAGCTTTATTACCTAGCAAATGTATCATTTAAAAAGAAATAAGAAAGTTAGAATACTCACCACTTGGACCTAAATTTCCCATCACACCACCTATATTCAACTGGCTGGCACTAATAGGCTGTCCACCTGGACCAAGTCCCATTCCAATGCCTCCAAGACCGCCTAAAATACAAAAAAGAAATTAAATAATGTCCTCTGCAACAATGGATGGAACTGGAGGCCATTATCCTAAGTGAAGTCACACAGGAATGGAAAACCAAATGCCACATGTTCTCATTTATAAGTGGGAGCTAAGCTATGGGTACACAGGGGCATACAGAGTGGTATAATGGACACTGGAGACGCAGAGAGGGGGAAGACAGGAGGGGAGTAAGGGAAGAAAAAATACCCATTGGGCACAAGGTACACTGTTCGGTGATGTGTATACTAAAAACCCAGACATCACCACTATACAATTCATCCATGTTACCAAAAACCACTTGTATCCCCAAATCTATCAAAATTTTTTAAAAAGGCAAAAAAAAAAAAAAAGAAAGAAAAAAGAATAATATTAGCAAGATCCATGTATGATTAACTGGCACTAAAATTTCAGAAAAACTATACGTGTATAATAGTATCTCTAAAATTTTGCAAATTTGCCAGTAAGAGCACTGGTTCTTGCTTTCATTTAGAAAGCAGCCCACTGAAGCCTGACTATAATACCATTTATTAAGGAGAAGTGTTTTGCGAAACAGGTCCATTTTATACCCCACTTAAGGTATACTGAAAGGACTACCGAAATACCAAGAGGATTTTGAATAATATCATATCACTTTATAAATGGAATATACATCTGAAAATGAGTATCCTGCCCAAATTGGTAGAACCACCTAAAATCTTAGAATTACTTTTAAGATGATTCAAATCAAACTAAAAAGTCAACAATGAAACACAACAATGAATAAAACAAATGTTACATTACCTAGTTTTCTCATTGACATACGTATTTTACATGTGGCACCTTAAGTGTTTACACATCTACTACCCACATGGATGAGGAAATTTTTGAGACCTTGAGTTACTTCTCTATACAATGCCATTTAGCTATGTGATTAACCTAAGACTAGTAGTTAAGTCTTCTTTCTCTAAATCCAGCATTCTTTTTACTACTTCTCTTAAAATAATTAAATTACATTTATATTTATTAATATGTATTTAATTAAATTGAAATAATTAAATTAGTTGGAAAGACTTTAAAAAGTATAATTTGATGACCTTATAAACAGTAAAACTAATTAACATATAGATGGGGACTGTTTTAGTTCACTAAATCTGAGTATGGTTTTAATGTTCTTGCTAGTCAAAGTTATAAATTAATAAGTCTTAGGGGCTTAGAAAACCACATACTACATTTAATTTTATAAAATTAGAGCACAGATCATTTTGTATTAAACTGTAAAAGAGCAACAAGAAGGAAATATCTTTTTCCTACTCACTGCCTTAAAAATGGCCCACTTGAAAGCAATAGCATATCTGACCATCTGACCATCACCAATGCTTATGTGTACACCAAACACCCAAATTTTCATCTCTATCATTTTTCATTAAGAGAACCAGGACTCCTTAAAGGCAGGTCAATCCCGTGTCTTGAAACAAGAAAAATCAAAATGGATCTGGGAAATCTTATTTTTACCAAAAAGTAAAAATATAAGAAGCATAGGGAATGAGCTTCCTACTTGCCAAGTTATAATTTGATCAAAGGAAAGGAGGGAGGTGGGGAGAGAGGGAAAAAATTATTTGGCAGGGGGGTTATAATGAATAACTTAACTAAAACAAACTGATTCTGTCAAAATACGTGAGTACATACTATGTATCAATAGAGAAGAGTATATAAAAATGTAAAACTCAAAAAGAATAGATGCAACATAAAAGTGTGAACATAACAGTATAGGTTTCTAATCTAAACAAACAGAAGAATATTAATAGTGAGAAAGGAAATTGGAAGCCCCTGCATAAAGCTAGGATCTTGAAAGATAACACCCTGACTGATTAGGTAAACCTGGGGAAGAGGAGGACTGTCCTATAAAGGGGAAAAGAGCAATATTCAAAGACACAGCTGACAAATTTTTGACATTTATTTTTAAAACTGAATTCTCAGATTGTGGAAGCCCAATAAATAGTAAACTACACCCACACTACAGGAAAATTGCACACGAAAGACAAAGATCTTCAAATCAGCTACATGAAGAACACAGATTACTAAAAACCATCCTCATACAGCCATCTCATCTTTGACAAAGCAGACAAAAACATACACTGGGGAAAAGAATCCTTATTCAATAAATGGTGCTGGGAAAACTGGATAGCCACATGTAGAAGACTGAAACAGGATCCACACCTTTCACCTCTCACAAAAGTGAACTCACAGTGGGTAACAGACTTAAACCTAAGATATGAAACGATTGGAATTCTAGAAGAAAATGTTGGAAAAACTCTAATAGACATTGGCCTAGGCAAAGAATTTATGAAGAAGACCCCAAAAGCAATCACAGCAACAACAAAAATAAATAAATGGGACCTGATCAAATTAAAAAGCTTCTGCACAAAGAAACTGTCACGAGAGCAAACAACCTACAGAATGGGAGAAAATGTTTGAATGCTACGCATTCGATAAAGGGCTGATAATGAGAATCTATTTAGAACTCGGGAAAATCAGTAAGAAAAAAATCAAACGATCCTATCAAACAGTGGGCAAAGGACGTGAAGAGAAACTTTTCAAAAGAAGACAGACTAATGGCCAAGAAACATGAAAAATGCTCAACATCTCTAATCAACAGGGAAATGCAAATCAAAACCACAATGAGATATCATTTATCTCCAGTGAGAAAGGCCTTTATCAAAAAGTCCCAAAACAAGGCTGGGCACAGTGGCTCACGCCTGTAATCCTAGCTCTCTGGGAGGCCGAGGCGGGCAGATTGTTTGAGCTCAGGAGTTGGAAACCAGCCTGAGCAAGAGCAAGACCCCGTCTCTACTAAAAATAGAAGGAAATTAATTGGACAACTAAAAATACATAGAAAAAATTAGCCGGGCATGGTGGCACATGCCTGTAGTCCCAGCTACTCGGGAGGCTGAGGCAGAAGGATTGCTTGAGCCCAGGAGTGTGAGGTTGCTGTGAGCTAGGATGACGCCACGGCACTCTAGCCCGGGCAACACAGCAACACTCTGTCTCAAAAAAAAAGTCCCAAAACAATAAAAGTTGGCGTGGATGCGGAGAGACAGGAACATTCATACACTGCTGGTGGGACTGCAAACTAGTGCAACTTCTGTGGAAAGCAATATGGAGATACCTTAAAGAGATACAAGTAGATCTACCATTTGATCCAGCAATCCCATTACTGGGCATCTACCCAAAAGAACAAATGATACTCTATAAAAAAGACACCTGCACTCAAATGTTTACAGCAGCACAATTCACAGTTGCAAAGATGTGGAAACAACCCAAGTGTCCATCAATACATGAGTGGATTAATAAAATGTGGTATATGTATACCATGGAGTACTATTCAGCTATAAGAAACAATGGTGATATAGCACCTCTTGTATTTTCCTGGATAGAGCTGGAACCCATTCTACTAAGTGAAGTATCCCAAGAATGGAAAAATAAGCACCACATGTACTCACTAGCAAATTGGTTTTAACTGATCAAGCGCACATAAAGGAATAACATTTATCAGGCGTCGGGCAGACGGAACGGGGGAGGAGGGGATGGGTATATACATATATAATGAATGTGATGCACACCATCTGGGAGACGGACACACTTGAATCTCTGACTGGGGGGCAGGGGGGAGGGGAGGGCAATGTAACCTAAACATTTGTACCCCCATAATATGCAGAAACAAAAAAAAATTAAAAAAAAAAAGAACACAGACTACCTATAAAGAAACGACAATTCAGTATGAATGACTTAACAGCAACAATGGAAACCAGAAGACTGAAATATTTTCAAAGTGCTGACAGAAAATAACTACCAATCTTAAACTATACAACAAGTGACACCATTTTTGAAGACATTTACAGACAAACCAAAATTGAGAGAAGTTACTAGCAACAGATCCTCATTAAAAGAGTTTTTAAAATAAATACTCCAGAGAAAAAAAAATTAGTGCCAGCATCTGTAAAAGCAGAGGAATGATGACACAAGAAAATGGTAAATAATAATAATGTCTAATTTGTGGTATAGGAAAAAAAAGCAATATAGAACTAAAACGTTGAGCAATAATAGCATATAATTCCACAGGAAAATGATTAGAATTAAAGCATTTGAAGGTCCCTCTACTATTAAGAGCATAATTATATTAACTTCAGGCTTTATGCAGACATATTGCAATATCCATAATAACCACTAAAAAAGAAAGATAGGAGAAAAATACTTGTAAAACATAGAAAAATAGAACAAAAAATAAAATAACAAATTAACCAAATGAACCAATAAATGTAATAAACTCTTTGCTTTCATGGAAAAGTCTGTCAAATCGAATTTTTAAAAATCTAATCCCAGTTATAACACTATTTATAAGGGGCACGTGTAAAACAGTAAAAACTAAAGAGAGCAACCTCAAACTCACAGCAACCTCAAACTCCTGGGCTCAAGCGATCCTCCTGCCTCAGCCTCCCAAGTAGCTGGGACTACAAGCATGCGCCCACCATGCCTGGCTAATTTTTCTATTTTTTTGTAGAGACAGAGTTTCCTATGTTGCTTAGGCTGATCTTGAACTCCTGGCCTAAAGCAATCCTCCCACCTCAGCCTCCCAAAGTGCTGGGATTACAGGTGTGAGGCACCACACCTAGCCCAAATCCACCATTCTAATGGGAGATTTTACCAGACACATTTCTCAATAATTGATAGCACAAGCGAACAAAATTATTGGTAAGGATCTAAGACAATTTAAATAATTTACAAACTTGATTTAATGGACACATACAGAACAATGCACTCACCAAGCACACCTGGAATACTTATAAAAATGTGCCACAGGGTAGGCCATCCATATACAAGTCCAAATTAATTCCAAAGAACCACAATCATATAGACCATGTTCACTGACCACAATGAAGTTAGAAATTAATAAGAAAAAAAACCTCATGCATTTGGAAATTCAAAAATTATATTTTCAAATAATACATACCTCAATAAATCATCATCATAATTTTTAAATACTTTAAAAACTGAACCATAATAAAAATACTCCATAGCAAAACCTGTGTACACTGGCTAACTTCACAGCTATAACTGCTTATATTAGAAAAGAGAGGCTGCAAATTACTGAAGGATTCAACTTAAGGAGTTAGGACAAAAATAAGAGACTAAACTCAACGAAATAGAAAGAAAAAAATTGTAAAGCTAAGAGCAGAAATTGAAGATACAGAAAACAATATTCAGTTCTTTGAAAACACTAACAAAACTGACAATCTCTAGCAAAATTGACAAAGAAAAATTGCAAACCTTCGGATTTTAAAAGACAGAACTATAGATGCAGCAGAAATTTAAGAGAGAATTTTATGCCAATAAATTTGAAAATGGCAAAAATAGACAAATCCTTAGAAAAAGAGAAATTACTAAAATTGACTCAAATAGCAACAGAGGGAAATATGATCAATCAGTAGTTAAAAATCTTACCCAAAACAATGTATGAAGGCCAAGACAGATTTACACATTATTTCTAGCAAATATTAAGAGAACAGATAATTCTAATAAGAAAGAACAAATATTCACCAACTCAGTATTGTTTCTAATAACTAAAAATTAGAATAACCTAAAAAAACAGAAAAATGTATAAAATGTGGTATCAGCAGTTAAAATGAAGAAACTAGAGCTACATCTATCAACATAAATGAATCTCAAAAACAATTTTAAACAAAAAAAGTTATATAATAATAATATACAATATTATGTCACCCATATCAAATTTTAAATACAGCAAAACAATTCGTATGTTTATGATTTACAAATGTGTAGTCAAATTATAAAAACCTAAATGATAAATAATATATTCATAAGTTGTTTCTTCTGGGTGAAGCATATGTTGAAAGGTTGGTAGAGGAGGGGGGAATCTGCATTTTATATGTAAAATTTTATTTAAAGAAAAAATATATACGACAAATATGACATATGACAGCTATAGAATAGCTTTATTTGTCTGTATATTTAAAATATTTTATGACAAAAAACTTTAATAATAACCAGAGAAAGTGCAGTGAAATAGTAAGACAATAGCTAATATTTCTTGAGTGCTTACATTATGCCAGAAAGGTTCTAAATGCTTTACACATATTGACTCATGTAATACTCAAGCCAACCCTATGAAGTAGGTACTATTATTATCCCCATTTTTCAAATGAGGCATTAAGACACAGATACTAAGTACATTGCATCGTTGTTTTTTAATCCTTTGGAAAACAATTTGATAAAACTAATCAATGGACATACACTGAAAACCGCACATATACTTGAGAGTATCTATCGTAAGGAAATAACCAAAAACATAACAAAGATTTATATGCAAAAAAGCATGCATTACTCTGTTGGTTATCAAAGGAAATAAAAGTTAAAATACCTAAAACAGTGAAATACTTTAGGGCAGCAGTCCCCAACCTTTTTGGCACCAGGGACCATTTTTATGACAATTTTTCCATGGACCCGGGGTGTGGGGGGTGAGGGGGTGGTTTCAGGATGATTCAAGCGCATTACATGTATTGTGTACTTTATTTCTATTATTATTACATTGTAGTATACAATGAAATAATTAAAACAACTCATCATAGGTTGGGGACCCCTGCTTTATGGAGCATCTGTATAACAGACTATTATATCACCAACAAAAAATAATCCGGAAAGAATTTTGAACATGGAAAAATGTCTATACTCTAATTTTTTAAAAAAAATTTACAGTTATTTATATGATAGTTCCCAACTACATAAAAAAATATACATAGAAGGAAAGCCTAGAAGAAAATATACAAAAATGTTATAAAGGGGGTTACTTGTAGGTGATGAAATTATAGGGGAATTTTTTTCTTTTATGTGTATGAATCTACCAAATATTTTAGGATGTATCCCTTATATATTCAGGAAAAATTACCAAAAAGAAAAAAAATGGCACATATATGTTGTATCTTCTCAGTCTTCCTAATCAATAGCATGAAATTATTTCCACAATTCCAAACTCATCCCAAACTGTGAGCAATTTAGGATGTAGGTACAAAAACAGTTTTGTTTAGCACATAATAAAACTGAAAAAAAAGGTCTGTGTTGTTTCTACTAATAGCTTTTACTTACGTGGTAGTTGTGGTGTTTTACTGTCATGTGAACGGTACTCTTCATGAGGAACAGACTTGTCATCCTAATTGCAAAAAAGTTTATTATATGGTTAGTATATTACCAAAAAGAACTATAATGTAGAAGAGACCAGATAAAAGATTTGAAGAGGTTGGAGGGTTGAGGTTATATATAGCAACTCACCATTTTCACATGCATAGGTCTATCAAATAAAAACTGTCCATTGAACATAGCTGTTGGTTCAGTCAAGGAAAGGCAGTTTAAGATAACTATAAAATTATACTTGAACACAAACTAATTTTTAATAATCTTAAAGTCCAACCATCTCTAATATTTTAATTAATATCTTTAATAGTTATTGGTATTAGCCACTCCTATATACTCAAAAAAATCTTTAATTCTTTGCTTTATACTTTTAATGCATAAATAAGATATATTCTTTCAATTCAACCATTGGAAAAAAATTAACAGGGCTTCATTTAAAGCAAGTGCATTAATGTACAGTGGATTACATAACTGTCAAAAGCATGTATACATATGATTAGTTGTGGTAGGAAGAGAGAGTAGAAAAAACTTCATACCAGCCTTATAAAAACTGCTAATTCAAGTTTTAAGAGTGACTTTAGTACTTGGACATAGTAAAGGTTTTATGTGCTGGAGACTAAAAACATATTTCTAAGCCAGGTAACCTTAAATTCTATTACCCCCACAAAATGGTATCAAGCTTCAATCAACTTCATAAATAATGCTAAAATGTAAATCAGGATACAAATTGCTTGAACTGCTTCAATTGCTTGCTCAAAAGTGACAGTGCCCATTCCTCTGCTCTTGCCATCTTTGTCTTCTTTAATATCTGCCCGCTTTACAGTTCCAGCTATGCTGAACACTTCCTTTAGCTTCTTCCAACCAACTTTGAAGTCAAGCTTAACATAAAATTGTATAAAGTTACAAACCTAATAAATCCCTCTCCCCATTTATAAATAAAGTAATCTTTTCTAAACCCTCAAAACTATAAAAAACGACAATTCTTATTCAATAGTGTATCAATAATTTTCAAATAAACATCTTCAGTTGTCTAAAATCAATTAAGCTACCTCTATGTTGTTCCTTATCTTTATAATTTTTAATTTCGAAAATCATCTCTCAAGTGCTCAAACCTGTTTTGTACATTTGAAACTTGCATATTTATTTTTACCAAGAGAAATTCATATTTTAAAAAGTATTAATTTCACTGGCTTCCAAAAGCTTAGAACAAATGACAAACCAACTATGATATGCACATTCACAATAATCAAGGCTACAAGAAATCCATTTACCAATATGCACCAAAATACCTATTATTAAAGTAAATAATTTCAAGAACTGCTTAAATGTATATAAATTCTACAGTTCTCTGTTTAAAAATCCAAACAGTTATACTTAAACTCTAGTCTTATATGTATATAGACTTAAATTGAATTTGAGTAAAAATAAGCAAAATGTTCTGTAAACCTGTAAGTCATTCATCTAATTAAATTATCTAATGATCAGAACTAAGTATCTGAATGACAAAATTTTAAACTAAAGCTTAAACTTACATTAGCAACAAAAATTGTGGAACCAAGTCTACCAGCCTGCAAATTACTGATAACCTCAGGAGGAATGTTTGGATTATTGAGAATGGAAGGTGGTAAATTCATCAACCCCGATCCCATATCAGGGACATGTCCTCCTGGAAATGATCCTCCTGTTCGTTGCAATGCCCTACGAGCATTTTCTCCGTCAGGATCCTATAACACACATTGAATGTTAAATGCCACTAAATACATCAGTAAATCTATATAATTAAAATAACAACTTCAAATTCTACAGTAACTATCCCATTTGGCTCAAATTATTGACCCTCTTGAAGAGTGAGCTTTTTTTCTCATGCAGAGAATTGAGTCCCATAAAAACCTGTGGATAGACAAAAGATTTCAGTCTCCAGAGATGTCAGTTAAATACCTCTTTCCAACCACTAAAGTCACTTAAGAACTTGAAATTAGTTTAATTTTGCCCTCACACTAGTGTGCAAGTATATGGCACATACACATATATGAGAGCAAAGTATTCACTGTGACTCTTTTCTTTCCAAAATGTAGAAATAGTGAATTCTTACCACTGAATGCCCAGTGGAATGCCAAACTCAGACTAATTCAAAGTTTTTCAATAATGGAACACACAGTTATAAAACCCAGGAATATGGTGGTAGAGGGGGACCTTAAATTTTACCAATTATCTACCTTCTAACCTCTTACCTTCCTCAGTAATGATTATGATCTGAGATGGGGACAAAGGAGAGATAAAGGAAGGCTAAGTGTCCAAATGGAGAATGATATTAAACATTGTTTTTTGTTACTTTCATTAATTTTATGAGAGAAATACCCTATGTTTAAACAAAACCAAAAAAAAGCAATTTTAAATGTACTTCTCACTCATTCCACTAAGTGGAATGCAAAAAAAAAAAAATCATATAAACACCATTGATAGACTAACATTTGCAATACCAAAGATTATGCTAAAAAGGTAACCATCAACTCTACTCTTCTGGCCTCAGTCTGTGAATACAGTACTAAGGAAAAGTAAGTTGGATAATCAACAAATTCTCTAGGTGGGCTGTTCTCTAGGAGAGTAAAAAGGTGAATGCAAGAATAAAGTTACTCGGGCTTCCCATGTATTTCTTAACAATGAAGGAATAAAAAGGATTACAAAAGTAAAGAAATAAATGCTATAAAATGTTTAAATTAATAAATAATAAATTCTTCAGGTCTGAGGATTCAAAAACTTGTACAAATACAAAAGTTAGGATAGTAGTTACCTACGGGGAAGGAGGATAACACTATGGGGAAGATATTTCTTGAACTACTAAGATATACAGGCTCTGCTTATTACATTAGTAAAGCGTATTATTATTTTTTGATTTGTCTTTTATATATATGACAAATATATATACACATAATACATGCACACATATACATATGTAATATATAAAATAAAATTTACATAAAACAAATCACCTACTGGATAACATGGCTCTTATTCCTCCGTTCCCTTGCTGTCAGCCTGACAGTCACTGACTGCTATTGCTTTTAGAGGGCCCATAATACATTTACAACTACTACTAATTCTCATTTAATTAAATGAAAAATTGTAATTCTTGGATCTGTTAAGGAACATTGGAAATATACTTTCCTTGGACTTCCATCTCAATATTAGTTCTAAGCAGTCACCCCAGCCACCCAACTGTAAATCCCAGGAAAGGAACTGCCTGTAGTAATGTTAATCCAAAACAGTTAACTGGAAAAATCCCTGATCATTTAGGCAGGCCAAATTTGGCCATTTTATCTCTTTAAAAAGTTAAAAATGGAAGCATCCTGTAACAGCTTGGGTCATATAACTCTACTCTAGGGCCTCTGAAATATTACTGAAGATCTACAATGTGCTAAAATTAAAAGAATGAAATAACATGGCCTTGGCCTTTAACATCCAATAAACGTTTATTCCAATTAAAAAAAAAGACACCGAGAATCTATAATACTTGTCCTTTGACAAGAAATAAGAAATATAAAATAGTGAATTATAATCCTCAAAATAATCATTCTGAGGATTATAAGAGAAATTATTCAAGATACCAACAAATTTCTGAAGAATTGGTCCTGGCTTATACATAAAAACCACAAATAAATGGCTGACACAAGCCACAACAGTCTAAACTTTTCCTACCCATTCTCCATGTCCCTGTCAAAAAATTTTCAGAAATAATCATAACCCCCAGGGGCTCAAATAGGATTAGAAGAATATGGAAGCTAACTCTAATAAAGGGATTTAGGATACATGTATATATGTTGTAGCAAGGCCTTTAATGTCAAGCTATCATCACTTCACGCTCAGGAACAAGAGACCAAGCACTCTTGGACAGGATTAACAACAATCATTACTATTACTGCTAACATTTTTAGGTAGTTATAATATTTTAAGCACTGTGCTAAGTGCTTTATATAAGTATAATAAATAGCTAATAATTAAATGCTTTACATGTATTAACTCTTTGAGTCCTTATAACACTATTAGGTAGGTTCTATTATTATTCCCATTTTAGTTATAGGAAACAGAGAGGTTAAGTGATTTGCCCTGAGTCATACAGGTTCTCTGATGCCAGAGACTGAATTCTTTACCATGTATCTCATTTAATCCTCGTAAAAACCCTATTAGGTAAATACAGACATATCTCATTTTATTGTGCTTCACAGATACTGCGTTTTTTACAAACTGAAGGTTTGTGTCAACTCTGTGTTGACCAAGTCTATCAGAGCCATTTTTCCAACAGCACATGCTCATTTTGTGTCTGTGTCAAATTTTGGTAATTGGTGCAAAATCTCAAACTTTTTCATTATTATTCATTTATTATGGTGATTTGAGATCAGTGATCTTGATGTTTTAATTGTTTTGGGGTACCACCAATCATATCTACATAAGGCAATGAACTTAATTGATAATTGTTATATGTGTTCTGACTGCTTCACTGACTGGCCATTCCCCTTGTCTCTCTCCCTCTCCTCAGGCCTCCCTATTCCTTGAGATATAATATTGAAATTAGGCCAATTAATAACATTACAATGACCACAAAGTGTTCCAGTGAAAGGAAGAGTCTCATGTCTCTCACTTTAAATCAAATGCTAGAAATGATTAAAGCTTAGTAAGGAAGGCATGTTGAAAGCCAAGATAGGTGAAAGCTAGGCCTTCTATGCCAAACAGTAAATTGAGTTGTAAATGAAAGGAAAAGTTCTTGAAGAAAATTAAAAGTAGTACTCCAGTGAACACATGCATAACAAAGCAAAACAACCATATTGCTGATATGGAGAAAGTTTTAGTGGTCTAGATAGATTAAATCAACTACAACATTCCCTTAACCAAACAAAGCCTAATTCAGAGCAAGGCCCTAACCCCCTTCAATTCTACAAAGGCTGGGGCGGGGGATGGGGAGCTGAAGAAGAAAAATTTGAAGCTAGCAGAGGTTGGTTCATGAGGTTTAAGGAGAGAAGCTGTTTCCATAACATAAAAGTGCAAGGTGAAGCACCAAGTGCTGATGTAGAAGCTGCAGCAAGTGATCCAGAAGATCTAGCTAAAGATCACTGATGAAGGTGGCAACACTAAATGACAAGTTTTCAGTGTAGATGAAACAGTCTTCTATTGGAAGAAGATGCCATCTAGGACTTTCATAGCTAGAGAGGAGAAGTCAATGCCTGAATTCAAAGCTTCAAAGGGCAGGCTGACTCTTTATCAGAGGTTAACGCAGACGGTGACTTTAAGTTGAAGTCAATGCTCATTTAACATTCTGAAAATCCTAAGGCCCAAGAATTACACTAAATCTACTCTGCCTATACCCTATAAATGGAACAAAACCCGGATGACAGCACATTTGTTTACAGCATAGTTCACTGAATATTTTAAGTTCACTGTTGAGACCTACTGCTCAGAAAAAAAAACTTCCTTTCAAAATATTTCTGCTCACTGCCAATGTACCTAGTCATCTCACCCAAGCTCTGATGGAGATATACAAGGAGACGAATGTTGTTTTCATGCCCATTAACACAACATCCATTCTGCTGCCATGAATCAAGGAGTAATTTTGACTTTGAGGTCTTAAGAAATATATTTCATAAGGCTATATGTGCCATAGACAGTGATTCCTTTGATGGACCTGGGCAAAGTCAATTGAAAACCTTCTGAAAAGGATTCACCATTCTAGATGTCATTTAAGAACATTCATCACTCATGGGAGGAGGTCAAAGTATCAACACTAACAGGAGTTTAGAAGAAGTTGATTCTAATCCTCATAAATGACTTTGAGAGGTTCAAGACTTCAGTGGAGGATGTAAATGCAGATGTGGTGGAAATAGCAAGAGAAGTAGAATTAGAAGTAGAGCCTCAAGATATGACTAAATTGCTGCAATCTCATAATAAAACTTAAACAGATGAGGAGTTGTTTCTTATGGATGAGCAAAGAAAGTTGCTGGAGATGTAATCTACTCTTGGTGAAAATACTATGAACATTGCTAAAATGACAACAAAAGATTTAGAATATTACATAACTTTGTTGATAAAGCAGCAGCAGGGTTGGAGAGGAGTGACTCCAATTCTGAAAGAAGTTCTACTGTGGATAAAATGCTATCAAGCAGCACTGTATGCTATAGAGAAATATTTCCTGTAAGGAAGAGTCAATCAGTGCAACAAACTTCATTGCGGTCTTATTTTAAGAAATTGCCATAGCCACTCCAGCTTTCAGCAGCCAAGACCACCCTGATCAGTCAGCAGCCATCGACATCGAGGCAAGACCTTCCACCAGCAAAAAGATTAAGACTTGCTGAAGACTAAGATGATCTTTAGCATTTTCAGCAACAAAGTATTTTTTAATGGAGGTATATGTACATTGTGTTTTTAGACATACTGCTATTACACATTTAAAAGACTATAGTATATGTAAACATAACTTTTATGTGCACTGAAAAACCAAAAAATTCATACAACTTGCTTTATTGTGGTACTCCCTTTTATTTTGGTGGTCTGGAACCAAACCCGCAGTATCTCTGAAGTATGCCTGTATTATCAGTAGTAGTATTACAATTACTGAGGTTTAGCAAAGCTAAGTAACATACCTAGTCACATAGCTAGAAACTGATGGAGCTGGGACTCAAATCTCTTGTTAAATGCCAAGGCTTACTGACAGTATTGCTGTACAATCAACAATTAGCATCGGTGTTAGTAAAGAATCTTCGAGGTCCCAAAGTAAAACCATCTCTCTCTCTCAGCACAGACTTTAGCAAGGATATGTGTAATAACTGGTCTGTAATCAAACTATTAGGATACAACAAAGCTGCCCATGAAAATGAGTGCTTTACAAGCTAATCATTCTAGGGTCAATTACACCTAACTATAAATAATATTTTTATGTATCTTCTGGTTATTTTTTTGTCAACCTATTTACATGCAACAATTCCATATAAAGAGAACATTTCTACTTTAGGGGTTTCTGAGTTCTAGTTATAAATTTCACTAACAAAGTTATAACTTTCCTTAAGTTTTTAAATGGAAGTTTCCAAGTTAATTTTATTAAAAGTGAACATCAATTTTATTCAAATCCCTAAGATATTTGCACATTATTAAGCAATTTTTAATTATCAACTACAACACAATTTAAAAATTAAAATGTCTATACCAAATAAAGTCAGCACCTAAAGTTGTCATCTTTAAATTTTGGGGTCCTGAAATTTTTTTAAATTTTATACCTCTGTTTATAATAACTTGAAATAAATTAAAATATATAGGATAACTGTATAAGAGCAAATAGAAAACCATGTACAAGTAAAACTATCACCAATATACAAAGCTTTATAAGCATCTATGCATAAAAAAAGTTGTAGTTCAGACAAATACATTACCAAAAATGAAAAGTCCAAAGAAAGCATGTCCTTATAGTCAAATGTTTAAATTCCAAATATAAGAAATCTTACCTCTTTAATATTCAGGGGTCTTCCACTAAGATCATATTTGTTCATAGTTTCTAGTGCTTTCTTTACAAATTCTTCATCTTTGAATTCAACCACACTTAATGGGGGAAAAATTTATAGGAAATGTTTATGTACTAATTTTTTTCCAGTCAGAAGTTTAATTTGACTTAAGATACTTAAAGAAAAAAATTCTTACCCACAACCCTATATCCAGGTGGATTTGTCAAAATATGCAAAAGAAAAAAGAAGTTTTAAATCAGTAGATGAAGGTAATGGTAGATTCTAACATTTAAATCATTAAAAGTAACAATATAGTACAATAATATAGTACAATGACTTTTCATCTTCTATACCTCCAGGACATAACAGGCAAGTGATCACAAATTTTCTATAAATCCTTAAATCTATCTAAGATAGTAGAACATAGTTCTATGTAGTAGAATGTAACAAGCTTGGAGCACATTTTTACTTTTAGATGACTTTTAAGTTAAAACTAATGTCACTGCACAAATTCAAACAATAGCAATTCAAAGAAATAACTGAAGGCTCCAATATACCTACCCTTACATAGTAACAACTATTTTCCAAAAATGTATTGTGTATAATATATTTTTCAACTCTATTAAAATCAAAATAGCAAATAAATATTAATTTTATTTTGAACGTTCTCTGTTAGATTAAAACTGGCTGTATGTAATTTTAACAGCACCCAGTTGTTAAGTATATAAAAATTATCTATGCTAAAGAAATTAATTTGTAGAATCATTTTTAAAAATACTTCCTTATGATTACTGTTCAAAATACCATTTGAATGTGATGACAAAGCTTTTATTTCTCATGCACCTAACTAGTTTTTTTAATATAATTAAACATTATAAAGAGCTTTCACTGTATTCTTCAGTATATTGCATTCTTGTTGCTAAAAATCAAAATTTTCTATCAATCAATTTCTTTTATGTCAATTTATCCATAAATGTCATTCATACCAATTGGTCAGAGCACTGCCTCTTATGTAGTCCTGCAGGCTACCAAACTAAGCTTTTCAGTAAAAGTTTCAAATATACATTCTGATTAACACCTTTAAGCTATAGGCCTCTCAAAAAACTCTTAAGGAATATTATCAACTCAGTACTTTTAAAATATCCTTGAAGACATCAAAATACGACAGAAATCCTATATTAACGTCTTATTGGATAAAAAGAAGCATTACCTTAGTGCATTAGAAAAGTGAATGCCCTTTATGAGCATTTACAAAACCCATCCCTTCCAGGCAGCTAGTTTGGTTTGGATAAGTGTCAGACTTGCTAGTATAAAGCCTCAAATCTGGCATAATAAAGTAAAACAAAATGAAACTTAAGTTTCCAAAAACTGGTACAAGTATTATACAAAAAGTAAACTGCTGAGGAACTTTTAAACCTCAAGCAGATTATTGCCCACAGCACTTACCCTTGATTTTCCTTCCGCATCCTTAAAGAGCTCCACGTATGTAACCTCACCAACTACATAAGACATACAAAAGGAAGATACCAAGAAACAATACATTTAAACACCAATATCTTGCTTTACTGCACACCTGTGCACAACTCTACAAAGAAGCACCTATTATTCACCAACAATCAAAACCAGACCAACATACCTCCTATCAATGGCTAGGTAAATTTAACTAATTTTCAGAAATGTACATCGTCCACATTCTCTAAAAAAAGCTAACAACCATATTAACCTAATTCATACTACAGATCATATTTTGGCCAGCATGATATAGTTGGTGAACAAATGCACATATACATACAAATGGTCCCTTAGCCTATCATATTAAAAAACATCACCATTAGCACTTTTCAAATAACTTTGGTCAGCCTACACACAACAGCTGTTTTAAGGTGACTTTCTACCTGAATGTCTTCAATCATGTTTGCCATCAGTAAACTAAATTTACAAGTCATGCTTCACAGCAAACCACACACTTTCTAAATAAAGTCAATGAATAAAACCAATCAAATAGTTGTCACCTTACAACAGATACACCAATGCAAATTTTTAAAAATTTATTAGAAGAGATCAGCCTCAAAGCCAAGTACATAGTTTGCAGGACTGTTGAAACTCAATTTTTCAAGAGATAACAAAACTAACTTTTACAAGATCAAGTATTAAAATTATTTTTCCCCAAAACCAACCATATATATAAGATGAAGGTTTTCAGATTATTCTGAAAACTGCAACAGCAGTAATGCAATTTTAATATAGAACTGCAAAGACAGCATCATGGCAGTCATGACAATGCAAACAAAATAAATTCCACACCCAGATTCCAGACTCCACCAAGATAATAACAAAACAGCTTTTGGAAAAAAAATAATCAGACCTTGTTATTCATACTTTAACACGCTACGTGTATAGCTTAACTCTAATGCAGTAGTCCTTTAAAAATCTATAAATACTTCAACTAGACAAAGCAATCACTTTAACAAAGTTCTTGGTGGCATGCATATGCTGGCTCGCTACTATCCCACTAAAATGGCAAAAAGAAAAATACTTCATTTATCCATACTACCTTGTAATGAAATTGTGTCAAATGAAAGAAGAGGAAAAGATTAATTCACATATCAAGAAATAAAAATCAATTTTTTGAGTCTGTGTGGCTCAGAAGAATAGAAAAGTTTGCTTAGTTCCCTCCCCTTTCTATATGAAGATTATCCAACAGTGGTTTATTTCAGAGATAGTTACCTTTTTCTCTCATTAGATCTTTAATAGCTTGCCATTTCATGTCATATGGGATATTGCTAATGAAAACTCTGTTACGATTTGGGCCCTTCTTTTCTCCAGTGCCTGAATTCTTGTCTTTTGAATAAGGATGAAATCTATTTGCCTTCTTATTTCCTGTAGATTTTTCTTTTAAGTCAGACTTCTCTTCTTTCACTGATTCATCATTCTCCCTATGAATTTAAAACAAACAAAACCCTCAGTTGTGCTTCTAAGAATGTAAGTCTATATTAAATAAATAGTTCATATTTATCACTTCACAAAACTCTCCACTAGCTTAAGCTAGACCTCAACAAAGTAGTTGGAGAGTCAGTCTGATAGCTTTGAAATTACCCAATGCCATTTCAAAGCAAGGGTTTGGGCATATTACCAAACTTCTCATTTAAAAATCCCCTTTTTTTTTTTCTATGTTAAATAGTTGCAAGCATCCAAACAACCAATTAGTTTTTCCCATCACACTACTTAATAAATGTTATTTGAGTTGAGGGGGAGGTGGTGGACATAAATGATTATCTTTCTATAGTATGTAAAGCAGCCACCTATAATGAAGACTTAATTTTCTGGGCTTCATTCAAAACTCTAAAAAGCTAATTTACAAAATGATATCCTGAAAAAGTTCCCAAAACTTTCTCCTCCCTTGCTTAAAAACATAATAAAATATGGAGTTATGTCTATACATCTACATCTATACATACTCACATAAAACTATCAAATTTTTTCTATTCCTAATTTTGATCAACACAGAAAATTTATGAGGCATCCTAATCTTTTTATGTTTAACATTTGTTTTAACCTATAAACTAGGATAGGGCACTTCATCAAATCACGCCATTTTTATTAGTAATATTACCTATAATGAGGGGATGGGCTGGAGGAGAGAAGCAGTACTTTAATGCGACTTAAAGAAAATTTTATAAATCTACTTTTTAATGAGGCCCTAAGTGGGAAAAAATTTAATTTATAAGACTATAATCACAACACAACTATATGATGCTATACACAAACCATCCCTAATATGTAAGTGTACACTTAAAGTAAATCCTATAGGTCAAAATCTGGATTTATATTTAAAAATGCAATTTACTTTTCAAAAGGAATCTTTTTTTTACAAAAGTAACAATAAATTTCTTTTAAATCACTAATTGCTCTAGTGAATTTCAAACTATTTTAACAATAAACTTCAATTTTAAAGCAATTTTTCACAAACATATCTAATAAAAATCTCTAGGAATGGCATCCAGGAATTTAAATTTTTTTAAGCTTCCTGGAGTATTCTGACAACCAAATAAGTTTCATAATCCAGGCTTTAAATTATCTTTTAAGCCAAGCAATTCTGGGAATCTGTACATTGCAGTGCTACACACATGCCTCTAACTATAGTCACCTGTTAAACAGCACAGTAAATTTCTTAGACACTACTCATCTGAGCAGGTAACAACATAGCCATAAATACAGTACATAAACTCTATGAGAACAAAAACCATCTGCTTTCAGCAACACCTAGCACGGTGACTGCATATAACATGTGCTGGATAAATAGTAATTTTTGAATGAATGAACAATCTATTATGAATCCACACTCATCTGAGCACAGATGTTGCCACTGTCTGCCACAAAAGCTGCTAAAATAAAGAAAGAGACATTAGGGCCAAACTTGCTTTGCCACCTTTTCAGACTTTGACAGTGACATCCTCACTATCAAGTATATTCCCTCATCAGAAACAGCACGGCCTAGAAGGCGTTATCTCAAGTGTTCAACTCTGGAGTACCTACCTGTCTGAAGAAAGTGGCACTTCTGAAAATGACAGCAAGCAGCCAAAAGGCATAGAGGCCTTTTCACTGGTTTCTGGGTACAGCAGATAGAAGAACAAACCCTTCTTTTTAATCCCCCAAAGGACCTATTTACATAATAGGGTTAGGCTAAATTCAATGAATGGTTGTGAAAATAACTAAGTCTCTATTCAGGTGAGCAGCTACCTAGATAAATATCCCTTCCCCTGCCTATTTTCTTCCTGGATGAAACCAATTGTAAAAATTACACAAAGTTCTGATGTACTCATGACATTCTATTCTTGACCCGAGAGGGGGTTACATGGATGTTGCAAACATTTGCTTACGATGATCTGACAATTCCATTAAAAAGCAGTAATATATACATCTTCTTTAAAATATTTACTCGAATGATAACTAGAGAGTAATTTCTTCAAGTTTTCTCCAATGAGTAGCATTTTAAAAAATACTGCCAAACTGCTTATCTACAATGTATAAACTGAGATTATCTATGGAAGTCATAACAGTTTAGAGAGTAGAACGAATGATCTATTAAGAAACTAAGCCATACTTACACAATTTCTGAACTATTTCTATGTCATAAATACACTATGGAAGAGAAAGTAAAAATTAGTGAAAACTCTTAAGGAAATGATACTACATAATACAAAAATATTGGCACTATATCTAGAATTCCAGGTACTCATTCCCAAACTATTCATTTAGGCAATCCCCCTGCAATGTATTTAAAGCCTCTAGAATAGTCACAAAAATGTTATCTACTCTTAAGAGTGAATTATGCCTACCCAAATTATAACATAAATTTCTGAAAAAAATCAATATCCAACATCAAATGAAGAAATAGTTTAATGTGTAATTTAAAAAGTACACGGGTATAGTATGAGATCCAAAATTAATTCCAGTTCCAGAAGAAAACTACCAGAGAGAAGTGCATAGCAATAAATGCCTACATGAAGATAAAAGAAAGATCTCCAATAGTCTAACTTTACACCTCAAGGAACTAGAAAAAAGAACAAATTAAGCCCGAAGGTAGCAGAGGGAAGGAAATAACAAGAATTAGAGAAAAAAATAAATGAAATATGCTAGAAATCCAATAGAAAAGATCAACAAAATTAAGAGTTGCTTTTTGAAAAAATAAACAAAATTGACAAAGATTAAGCTAGACTAAGGGAAAAAAAGAGAAGAATCAGAAATGAAAGAAGAGGCATTAGAACTGATACCAAAGAAATAAAAAGTATCATAGGAGATTACTATGATTATATGCCAACAAACTGGATAATCCAGAAGAAATTAATAAATACCTAAAAACGTACAACTCACCAAGTCTGAATTTTGAAGAAACAGAAAATCTGAACAGATCAATAATGAGAAAGGAGACTGAAACAGTAATCAAAAATCTCCTAACAAAGAAAAGCCCAGAACCTGATGGCTTCACTGGTAAATTTCACCAAACATTAAAGAACTAATACCAATCCTTCTCAAACTCTTTCAAAAAATTGAAAATGAGGGAATGCATTCAAATCATTTTACAAGGCCAGCATTACCCTGATACCAAAGCCAGACAAGGATACGACAAGAAAATTATAGGCCAATATCCCTGATGAACACGGATGCAAAAATTCTCAACAAAATACTAGCAAACCAAATTCAACAGCACATTAAAAGGATTATACAGCATGATTAAGTGGTATTTATCCCAAGGATGCAAGGATGAATTAATATACCTAAGTCAATAAATATGATACACCATATTAACAGAATGAAGGATAAAAAAATCAAATGATCTCAATAGATGCAGAAAATGCATTTGACAAAATTCAACATCCTTTCATAATGAAAACTTTCAACAAATTAGGTACAGAAAAAACATTCCTTAACATAACAAAGGTCATTTATGGCAAACCCACAGCTAACATTATACTCAAGAGTGAAAAGTTGAAAGCTGTACCAAGTTAAGATGCCTGCTCTCATCACTTCTATTCAGCAAAGTACTGGAAGTCACAGCCAGAGCAATTAGACAAGAAAAAGAAATAAAAGGCTGCCAAATTGGAGAGGAAGAAATTATCTCTGTTTGCAGATGACATGATCTCACATATAAAAAACCTTAAAGACTCCACCAAAAAAACTGTTAAAACTGATACACAAATTCAGTAGTAATAGGGTACAAAATTAACATTCAAAAATTAGTTGTGTTTTTATACAATGACAACAAATTATCCAAAAAGAAATTAAGAACACAAGCCCATTGACAATAGCATCAAAAAGAATAACATATTAGGAATAAATTTAACCAAGGAAGTGAAAGATCTGTGCACAGAAAACTACAAAACACTGATAAAAAGAAATTGAAGATAATAAAAAAAAAAAATGGAAAGATATCCCATGTTCATGGATCCGAATTAAAATTGTCAAAATGTCCATACTACCCAAAATGACCTATGGATTTAATGCAATCCCTATCAAAATTTCAATGGAATTTTTCACGGAAATAGAAAAAATAATCCTAAAATTGGATGCGGAACCACAAAAGGCCCCAAATAGCTAAAGCAACTTTGAACAACAACAACAAAAAAAAGCTGGAATTCTTTATTTTAACTTGTATTACAAATCTATAGTAATCAAAACAGTATGGTACTGGAATACAAACAGACACACAAACCAACAGAATGGAAAGCCCAAAAACATACCCACACATATATTGTAAACCAATCTTCAGCAAAGGTGCCAAGAATATACAATTGGGAAAGGACAGTCTCTTCAATTGATTGTATTGGGAAAACTGGATATCCACAGACAAAAAAAATGAAATTGGATCCTTATCTTATAACACACACAAAAATCAACCCAAAATGAATTAAATACTTAAACATAACACCTGAAACCATATAACTCCTAGAAGAAAACACAGGAGAAATGCTCCATGACATTGGTCTTGGCATTGATTTTTTTGGATATGACACCAAAAGCATAGGCAACAAAAATAAAAATAAACAATTGAGACTACATCAAAGTAAAAAGTTTCTGTACAGCAAAGGAAACAATAAACAAAATGAAAAGGCAACTTAAAGACTGGGAGAAAATATTTCCAAACCATATATCTGATAAGGGGTTAATATATAAGGAACCAATAGCAAAAAAAACCTGATTAAAAAATGGGAAAAGTACCTGAATAGACATTTTCCAAACAAGACATACAAATGACCAATAGGTATATGAAAAAGTACTCAACATCATTAATCGTCAGGGAAATGCAACTCAAAACTACAATGAGATATCACTTCCCACCTGTTAAGATGACTACTATCAAAAAGTCAAAAGATAAGTATTGGTGAGGATGTGGAGAAAAGGGAACTCTTATACAAATACATACTGGTACAGCTATTATGGAAAACAGTATGGGGGTTCCTCAAAAAATTAAAAACAGAGCTACCATATGATCCAGAATGTCATTTGTGGGTAAATTTGCAAAGGAAATAAAATCAGTCTCAAAGAGATATCTGTACTCCCATGTTCAGTGCAGCATTCACAATAGCCAAGATATGGAAACAATCTAAGTGTCTGTTTACAGATAAGTAGATAAAGAAAATGTGGAGTATACATATAGATATACACACACATAATAGAATGTTATCCAGCCTTTAAAAAGAGGGAAATCTTGCCATTCGCAACAATGTGGATGAACCTGGGGGACATTATGCTAAGTGAAGTAAGCCAGACTCAGAAAGAAAAATACTGCATGATCTCACTTGTATGTGGAATCTAAAACTGTCAAACTCATAGAAGCAGATAGTAGAAGGGTCTTTAACAGTGGGGGCGGGGAGAGATGCTATTCTATGGGTCCAAACTCTCAGTTATAAGATATATAAGTTCTGTAGATCTAATGTACAGGATAGTGACTATAATTAACAATAATGTACTTACTTTATACTTGAAATTTGCTAAAAGAGATCTGAAGTATTCTCACTATAAAAAAAAAGTAACTACATGAAGTGATGGATAGGTTAATTAGCTTGATTATGGTAATAATTTCACAATGTATTCATATATCAAAATATCATATTGTATACCTTAAATATATACAATTTTTATTTGTCAATTATACCTCAATAAAGCTTGGGGGGGGAAATTAAGCCCAATTCCGGTCTTTACTCCTAATACAGTAAAAATTACTACTCTACTAGAGAATACTTCACCTTGCTCCAATGCTTAATATTTTATAAGTACCCTAATATAACTCTCGAACTCCATTTACTCCAAGGTGTTACTTAATCACACATGAATATTCGTTTTAAGAGTACTGGTATTTTCCCTCCTATTCACTTTTGAGAAAAGGAAAGCTAGTATACCATTTTGGCATAAAAGAAAAGACTAGATCTAGGGAAACAGATCTTTAATTTCTTACCTAAAGATGTGAACATGCCAACTAAATTCTCTGTACATGGGTTTCATAATCATAAAAGTCCACTTCTGCATTTCTTCAACAACTTACTGAGCCTTTTTAAATGGCTTTGAGATGAATAAGACATAGTAGTCTCCCAGCCTCAACAACTAGGGATTAACCTCACCAAAAGTCATTTCAATGCTGATGACAAACAGTACTCTATTCACTTCTAAGCAATACACATTTTAGGGCAATATTTGGTCATTTTTTGTCATCAACAGTAAATTCTTATCATCAAAAACATACGGTAATCAATTCAAAGTTTATGTGTTGGGGTTGTTAACTACTCCTACTAGTTCACGGAGTCAAAAAGGTTTAGGTCCCCAATGGTGATATAGCACCTCTTATATATTCCTGGATAGAGCTGGAACGCATTCTACTAAGTGAAGTATCCCAAGAATGAAAACAAGCACCATATGTACTCACCATCAGATTGGTATTAACTGATCAACACATAAGTGCACATATAAGAATAACATCTATTGGATGTTGGGCATGGGGAGGGGGGAGGGGGTAGGAGGGAGGATGGGACGGGTATATGCATACACAAAGAGTGCACTGCGCACCACCCGAAGGATGGACATATTTGAAACTCGGACTTAGGAGGGGAGAAGGGGGGCCAGGGGAACATACGTAACCTAAACATCTGTACCCCCATAATATACTGAAATAAAAAAAAAAAAAAAAGGTTTAGGTCCCTAGTTATTCAGTGTGAGTGACTTATGTTGGACCATAGTATGTTATATGTTCTTATAGCGTAGACAGTACAAGAAAATCCCTGAGAATAAACTAGCCTCTACTCAACTTCTGGGAAAAGAGCAAGGGGGAGAATTATAAGCAATATGGAAAGAATCTGTATTTACTACTAACATTTCCTAATTTCTTTACCTTATATTTTTCTCTTCCTAAATGAGAAAAGGATTCTTTCCACATCTCTCTACTCCATCTTTTCCTGTCTTGCTAAACCATGAGAAGACTTTTAATGGGATTGGCCTTTTAAATCTAATGTAGATTTAAACACTAGCTTCACCTGTACCAACACTATCACACTAATCATACCCAAGTAGATATTCAAGGCTGTGCTTTTTGTTCAGAAAAAAGATAGCACATATGCCCATGGTAAGACATGAACTAACAGCACATACTTTTAAGTTCATCATTCCAGGATTTTCATTTCTATTTTTTAATGCCAAATAAAATCCCTGAAAGCCCACATTTTGGCAGACATGGTATAAAGTGCCTCACTTACTTTCTGGTTCTTCAATTACCGAGGTGTACCACTTTCCATCCAGGAACAAATTCTGTGAGTTTCCAAAGATGCTACCTATCTTATTCAAACCCATTTGAAAGCAAGAATGTCATAATGGAGCTGGAGAGAGCTACCCCCTCCATCTGCAATCAACTCTTACACAGAATGGTCCAGATCTTATGATACTCTTTCAAACACTTTTATGCAAGAGAAAAGTCAGACGTTTCCCTTTCCTATTTTAGTGTGAGCACTTGTTTACTGCTTTCTACTCTGAGGCATAACAGAGAAGGAAAAGGATGTTTTCACTAAACTAACATACTTTCAACTTCAGGTTTAAAGAGCTGAAAATAAATGCTTGACTTAGTACCCCACCCCACCCCCAACACGACAGGAGCAAAGGGGAGCATAGTATTTCCCTGTAACATTTCCTTATAATCAGAAATTATGGATTTGAGTTAGCGAAAATCTTTATAGGTACTGATGACAGCTGCGATCTTAAAAATGGGTTTTCTTCTATTTAAAAAAACCTTATATTACCATTATACCAAAATTAAGATCATCACAACCTGAGTTTTTAAAATAGCCTGCACAACTGACAAATGTTAGCGAGTGGGTGGAGAAGCAACGCACAACGCCCATTCCCTTTTAAAAAGTAATGAATAAAGTCTAGCCAACTCAAGGGTAACACAATAGATTAAGTCTAACAGAGCATTATTAAACTTCCTCTTTGTATCAATTCAAAAATGATACACATTTTAGAAAACAACAAAATACTAAACTTGTAAAGCTCAAAATAAGGCCAGGGATGTTCCTTTTAAGTGCGTTCTCGGGGGTTAAAAGGAAATGTCCGATGATGTCATCCCTAGATACCCCCTAGTGATGAACACTAACTATTGGCCCTTAAAAGGGGGACCATTTTCCTGCAAACTGTGGCGGTCTCCAGGCTATGCTCAAAGGTTCTCCAGTTGAAGTCAAGGAAGAAGGGGTGTTCCGCGGTCTCGGCCCAGAAATCGGGGAGGAGGGCCGATCCCCTTACCCCCCCCGACCCTCCGCCCCGGCTCATCGGGCCGCACCAGGCCCGAGACAGGAAGGGAAAGGCCTGGGAGCCGCCCGGCTGCACCTGCTCTTCGGGCGGACAACGACTAGGGGCTATGGGGCTGTTGTCCCCCATCAAGGCCTAGCCCAGCCTCCGGTCCCTCGGCCGAATCCCCGCCCCCCACGTCGCCCCAATCCCCCGAGGAAAAGACAATACATTTTAACGCCATTGGAGCTGCTGCTGTGCTGCTGCGGCTGCTGCTTCTCCGTCTCCGGGGGATGCGGTTCTCGCCGCGACTCGCCCGGCGGCTCCGCGGGCTGCTGATGCGAACTGTCGTCGCCAGTGGCCCCGGGCACCTCGGGCTTGTCGGCGTCCGCCATCCCGCCGTCGCTGCCTCCGCCTCGGCCGCCTGCGCTATGGGGCTCCGAGCGCGACAATGGCGGCGGCCAGGGAAGCGGTAACGGATCCCGATTTGAAAAGGCCCGGAGCGCTCAGTTGCCCGGATCTCGCGAGAACCGGTCGAGGCTGGGCGACTGGGAGATGGTGTGTGCGCGTGCGGGGGAGAGTGAGTGTGCGGGGGGCGGAGGGGTGGTTGGGGGAGAGGGGAGACAGAGAGGCAAGGGTCAGGGCCGCCCTTGCTGCAGTCGGCCTTGTACCTGCCTGGGGAGGGCCTGACCAGTCCTGAAGCCCCAGGTGGTGCCATGTTCTGACCCCCTTGCCGCCTGTCGCTTGGCACCCAATGGAGTCTTCGCTTACAAAGCGGGATTAGAAACATCTGGAGCTCTGAATCCCAGACTGTTCAATTCTTTCCAGGTAGGCGCAATTTAAGTTAGAGAAGCACACACCACTTTGCATCTTTAAAGGCGTCTGCAGATCTTCAGGCTCCCCTTAGAAATCCTTTGAATGATCACCTACCACTTCAACACCTAGGCACCCTGTGGACATTCAATAGATATTGATGATTGATTGCAATTCACCAAATTGAATAGCTTTGGATTTCTTTAAAAATTGATTGTTCTTAAGAGTGAGGATTTCCTTGGAACTCAGCTATCAGCTTAGTAAAAGAAAATTGAAGTTTTTTAATTCTCTGCGCAGCAGTCAATGGGAGGAATCTATAATTTTCATAAGACATCTTCTAGATTGGCTAATAATGGCCATTTTGGTTTTTGATTATGTGTTTATAACATGCTGGTGGAAATAATATGTGAAGCAATTACAGGCCCTCAAATAAATTTAATTACCGTGTGGAGTTTTAAAATATAGTAATAGATTTTTTTCCCCTATGTATGAAAAAGAAAACCATTAAATTTAATCAACTCCTAACTCTCGAGTACTATAATAATATTTCACGCTGAAATAACCTTTTCAGCTGAAAAATTCAAACACCTTCCCAAACATTTCTTTTCATAAAGAAGTAAACATACATGGTTTACATGCTCTGCAGAGTGTCATACACACATTAGTGGTAAACCTGTAGTTAGAAAGTAATACTCAAGTAATGCATACTTTCTTCAATTTCCCCATTCTTTGGCATTTCAATACGTAGGTTCCTGCCCTCTACCAAAAATACCATAAAACATTCGATCCTGTGCCTGAAGAGTTGAGCTACTTCATCAATCAATCTCACACACACACACACACACACACACACACACACAAAATCAAAACATTTTAATCTGAATAAGAATGCTTGATGAAATACTGCTATTAGGATGCCGTCCACATTGTTTCATAAACACAACAAATGCTATTATAGTTGTATAAATCATTTCTCATCTAACCCTGAGATATAGTGTTTAGAGTAGCAGAAAAGAGACTCGATTCTGACAGACAAAATCCGAGTTAGAACCCCCCAGCTCTACCGCTTTCTGCCCATAATTCCTTGGACAAATCACTTGGCTTCTGAATCTCTTCACGATAATTAAGGATAACAATACCTACCTTGCAGGATTGAGGTGAGGATTAAAAGCCAGAACTTTATGTAGAAAAAAGTGCTATACAAACAAAGTAGTATTACAATTCCCTGTCTCTCCAGGTTCAGCAGGGTTTTAGTCAAAGAGAATTAAAGTTATTTTCCCACAGCACTAAATTATAAGTACTTTCAAAATAGTCATCATTCTGTTGCTCTTTTGCTATAGTTGAATTTAACAATGAAAATTAAACCCCACCATCCGTAGTACAGTACACTCTTGCAAAAAGTCCTTAATTGAATTCAGTATTTTTTAAGAGGGCTTTATGTTTAAAACAGAGTAGTAGGCACATGAGGAATACAAAAATGAGTATGGCCCCGTTGGGAGAGGACTATTATAAAAAGCACAATTTGAGCACCATAACAGAGATAAAGCAAAGTATAATTAAAAATGTATTTACAAAAACAGGAGACTGGACTGCGTGTCTTAGTGTGCCAATTAAAATATTCCATTAAAATATTCATCATGACTACTGAGCTTTTGAGCACCCAATTTTGTGCCCAAGACAAATGCCTCACTCACTGTAGCTTAGTCCTAGTCCTGATAAATGCATTAAGAGCGAAGGTTAACTCCTACTGGGGCATCAGTGAGAGCTTCATAGAAGATCCGGATTTTAAAAGATGGAAGGAATTTGGGTAACTTCTGAAGAGAAGAAAATGATTAATCCTTATCACTCCATCTAACTGCTCTATAGATTGATCTGCCCTCCCTTTCTTGCTGTTAATAATGTACTTAGCTAAATCTGTAAAATATAAAGAAAAATGTTATTAATATTCTATTGCTGAATTCCATTTCTATATTTTCCATTCTTCCTCTCTACTGTTTTTTTTTAGTACATGCATTCACCTTGAAAAATTCTTAAGTAATGCTCAACTTCTTATTTTCCCACAGTTCCCATTGCAAAAGTGTTATCCTTTACAATGACACAAAATATATTACTGACACAACTTCATGTAACCACTTAGTTTTCTTTCTTACGAATTGGAATGTGTGTGTGTGTGTGTGTGTGTGTGAGGGGAGGGCATTATACTTACCTGGAGATGTAACCCTAAAATTCCAAAATATTTTCAATTAATACCTTAATATGTGTGTCATTTAGAAATTGTGTTTACCTGCTAGTAACAGCAAGTGGAAGTAATAGTGTCTTAAACAAGATAGATGTTATTACTCTCAAGTAAAGAAGTGCAGAGGGAGCATCCCAAAGAAGGTGTGGTATCCACAGTCATCATGGACTCAGGTTCCTGCTACCCTAATCTTTCACTATTATAACGTGAGGCTTCATTCTTAATGTTGCCCTTCGGCCCAAGATGGCTGCCGGAGGTCTAGGCATCTTGTCTGCATTGTAGGTCAGGCGTCCAGAAAAGAAGGATCCTACCCAGACGTCTCACACAACACTTGCACTTATGGGCCAGAACTTAGTCACATGACACACTTAGCTGAAGGGGAGGTTGGCAAATAGCTTTTGAGCTGGGCTCACTGCCCAGGATCCTATTACAAAAGAAGAAGAGAATGCAGTGGAAACTAGAATATGATCATTCTTTTTCTTTACCTTTAAGAATTAAAAGGCAAAGATCAACAATGGGACAAAAACATAGTATGATTTTTAAGTCAATTGCTTGACTATGTGAATTAAATGGCTGGATTTGAAGGCACTAAGTTCTCTCTTTTTTGAAGCTTAAAAAGAAATTTAAAACTTTAAAAAATACTATGGGTTATATTTAAAATCTAATATATATCTCCCTTTATTCTAAAAAGTTCATCCGATGATGAAAATGCAGATGTTGTTTATTGTCAGTAGAAAGAGAAGTTTAATCTTATTCTGACAATCAACTACTTATTATTCTCTCTCTATCTCTCCGTCTGTCTCCGCTGATCACCCACACTCTCCACAGCTCTGCTTGATTTAAGAGTCAATTTTTTAGCCTTTAGCATTCTAAAAATACATCCTTATAAAGTCTCCATCAGCCAAGTAAAGTTTAGAATTAAGACAATTTTCTGAATAATCCAGGCAGAAGCTCCACTTTCACCTCTATTATTCAAGTAATTCAGATAACACCAAGAGTTTTGCTAGAATTTCTTTGATAATTGTTTTATTTTTCAACTTTACAACCCCTGGGTCATTGCCCAATAACGAATTTACTTTTGATTTTTGTAAGCAATATTGGGATGTATTTTTTTTCCTTGAAGACTCCTATAATTCCCAGATATTTATTTGAGTCTCAACTTTTTAACCACTTTCTAATTTCTTAATTTTAATCACCCTGCCTTTTCCTCAGTCTCACTCCAGTAACCCCAATAAAGGCAGATCAGAAGAGCAAATTTCCAAGAGCCCTGTCCTACTTTCCTTCTTAAGAGCATAGCTACTCCCTCCTCTTTAATAATTCCATGAATTGGGCTTCCTCTATCCAAAGCCATAGATATTATTTGGAAATATTTTTAACTATCCTCAGTTTGGTATCCTAATTCAGAGTATTAATGAAAATGATTACTTTCTGTCAATTTTTGTTTTTAATTTAAATAATTATTCTTTTTAGCAACATCATTCTCAATTTTCAATTACAACATTTGGAAGAAAAAATAGATTTCTCACATTGATGAATTATAGTGTTTCATCCATATACTATCCTGTATATTTAAAGATAATCCTATAAATGGTGATGACAGAGATAATAACTGACACAATCCATCTCCCTCTTTTTATTTGGTAATAGAAAACCAATTTATTATGGTGGCTATGAATATTACTAAAAGTCCACATTTCCGAGTCTCACTTGCAGCCAAATATGCCGATGTGACTATGTTCTGGCCAATAAGATATAAGCAGAAATGTAAGGACCATGTAGGAGTTTCCTTAGAAAGAACTGACTTATCCAAGAGAATGACCCTTTTGTCCTCTCTTTCTTCCTCCTGCTGCTGGCTTGCAATAGAGAAATGATGTCCGTAAGAAAACAACCCTATTAGACCATGAAGTGACCTTGTAATTGGAACCTAAGTGCTGAGGATGGTGGAACAAGAAAATAGAATCCAAGTCTCTGATGACACCATGAAGTCACAGTAACAACCCTGATGTTCCTACCCCTAGACTTGTTTTCAAGAGAAAGAAATAAATTTCTATCCTGATAAATTGCTGTTATTTGGGGTCTTTCTATCAAATACAACTAATCATAATCCTGATGACTATTAATTTAATTGAAATGACTGATTTGCTTCAATAGTTTCTTTTACACTGTGATCACACATACACTACTCTAAAATGTTTTTCTGAAGACATCATTTACAGTGGTTTTTGTTATCTCTTTTGCTTTATGCTGTAGAACACTGCAAGAAGTTTTCTACATGATATCCATTCTCCATTTTTTTCTTAATGACAGAACCACAATTTTGTTTAAGGTAACAATGTGCCCAGCTTAAATTCTAGGAGTGACCAGAGTACACGTCTCTATCCAATGACTTATAAGAAGTAAGATACTAGGGATTCTGGAAGGGTCTTTACTTTCCTAATAAGTTCTTTGCCTTTCTT